CTTTATTATAAGACTATTTGTGTCGTAAATTAATTTAAGAACTATGAGCACACTTATAGTATATTTTTACTTCTAAAGTCCTTTAATATATTTATTTTTTTATAAATAAATATGGCCTTAGTTTACATTTGTGTGCTAACACGATTCACATGAAGTATCACGTTAAAATTTTGAGGTTAGATTATTATATGTATAAGTTATTAGTGTATAACAAGGAATAGTATAAGGTTTTCAAGAATCAATTTCTCACCAATCTAGTTTCATTATTTGATGTGCGCGAGAAGAAAACAGTTATTGAAAAATATCTACGAAATGTTCAACGACGTACAAAAGATTTTTCCATGGGGAGTGATAATATTAAATTTGTATCACAATAGGGAAGAAAATAAACGACACATCAACGAAGCGTACAACTCTATATCTATACTACTGGTTTATATAAAATTATATAGAAAAAAGGTTGGTAACTTCAATTTTGGTCAAAACGAATTAATTTTTTTCCTAATAGTTTTCTAGTTTTAGTTGAATAAATAGACTAAAGATTAAGTATTTATTTCAGTAGAGAATAAACGAAATAACTTAAAAATGATCAAAGACGTAAATTCAAAATAAATCATGAATCCTGCTACTATTATAGCTAACAGAAGTTCAAATTGAAAAGTAATAGGTTAAAATTTATATCACACTAAATTAAGTAGTACAGTAGAGTATAAACGTTTCTTTTAATTACGATATATATATATTTTTTAACATAAAATAAATTAAATATCTAAAAATTACAGTAAGAAAAATGTATGGTAGGTATGTGTATACTACATTTCTCATAATGAGGAAACTATCATTCATTTTTTTTAGATTTTCCAGGTTAAGTTTTAGTTAACAATTTCATTTTTTTTCTTATATGAGCTGACATAAATAGTTTTGGAGGAAAATTACGAATAAATAAATTTTTGTTAATAGTTAACTGGACATAGAATCGTCGGTAGTGAAGTTTTTTTATGTTCAATGATCGCTCAAGTTTTCAAATTAATTTGTATATAATTATTTGATTTAAATAAGTCTAAACTAGTTTTGTTATTGTTCTGTATATACATTTTTCGTTATTCAAATTTATGTTGTTGTTTTTTTTTTTTTTTTTTTTTTTATATAATGAATATTGTGGTTATGGTCTTGTTTTGATTATTACTCTTTTGTCTTTGTAAAATATGTCAAAATCAGTAATGTTTGTAAGATTATTCCCTTGATTATACCTTGATGTTTTGTTGATTGCTGAGTTGTGATTGGGATGTTAACGTACTTGATTTGTGGACAGACTTTTTGATTAATACAATGTGTACTTGTAATGATATTGTTTGATTTAATTTAATTTTTGACATAGTATATATCTATATTAAAAATATAATGAGATGTAGTTGGACATTGCGTGTGTTTATGTTAAGGTCTTGATTCGGGTAGTATGATAGTATTACAACGTCATCAACTAATAATGAAAGGATTGTTTGATTAATTTAGAACTATCTTCAATATATCTATTGTATAGTTATGATAACAGTCCACTTAATTGTAGAAATATGATAATAATTAATTGAAAGATAACACAGTTTGGTAAATAAAGATCAAGGGAAAATATAATATAAATGCAATGGGATAAGTTTGTTTTGTTACGATAATACCAGTTGTAGATTTGTAGGTACATAAGTATTTCACAAATATGACTAGAAATGTTTAAATGTATTCAATTTTATTGCGATGAAAATTTGATAATATTATAGTATTGTATAACGACTATTGGCAATTAGCGGAAAGTTTAGCAATATAAAATTACACTTCAATATATATATATATATATATATATATATATATATTATACGAGTTAACTATCACATTACACTTTAATAATGAAATATACTCTATATGTCTTACAACCATTGATTTTTTTTACACACCTTTTTTTTTTAAAATTTCAACGTGTAATGTTCCATTTGTTCCCTTTCAGTTATATCAAATTCCGGAAACACAAACCGCAGGTATAAATATTTAAATAGTCTATAGTGATTTATAACGCTTCCTATTGAACTTCATTATAATCCTATACAAGTCTATTTGGATATTATCATTTCATAAAAATCGAATTGTGTACCAACAGTAAACCCATAATATAATTACTACTTTTTATATAACTAATGAATGGAAGCAAAGCAATTTTTTTTCACTGCAAAACCAATTTATAGTATTATACGTTTAATGATGAAATATAACATCACAAATCATCGAAGATATGCAAAAAACGAATAAAACATTTAATTAATTTTATACATCCTATAAAGACCTATAACATAATATTATAATGGCGAAATATTCGCTTTTGTATTAAATATGCTTACAAAGAATAATAAATATTGTAAAAATATCAAATGCTCATTACGGAGAACAATATTACATTTTTTTTAAAGACCACATTTAGTGAATAATTTTTATTTTTTATTTTTAATTAGAGAATATACAATCTATACCTAAAAGTATAATAAGAATGTGTGCTACATTATATTAAAAAACATGAATAGGGTGAGAGAAGAAACCATCCAGTGATCGCACTGCCTTTTGCTTAAATATATGTGTAACTATATATATTTTTTTAATTATTATTATCAATTTTTTTTTTCGTTATTCATTAAGAACATCTCTGCACCAGTTTATTTTTAAACGCCGTGGTTGGTTTCCAGGAATTGTGTGAGTGGCTAGACTGGATATCAGAGGATTTAAGTTACCAGACAGTTTGTTGAAAAAACGTTTGTAATACATTTTAGCTTCTTCGTTTATAGTTTTCATTTTTAAGTCTAAGTGGAGAGTAAAATTAGAGATATAAGGGGGAGGGGCATTGATGATGTAGCGTAGGATTTTATTTTGAATGGTTTGTATTTTGTTGAGATTGGATTTTTTGCCATTACCCCACAGTTTGAGACCATATGTCCACATAGGCGTAATTAAGAATTTTTAAGTAAGAAATTTGATATTTAATTTAGTATGTTCGTTAGTTAATAATGTTATGAGAAACCGGATACATGCATTTAAGGCGAGTTTTTTTTCCCTTACATGTTGCGCCAGGTGAGGTGACAATCAATGGTTAGTCCTAGATACTTAACAGATTGAGATGAAGGTATAGGTATGTCAGCTAAAGAACGTTCAGGACAGGGATCAAGGTGAAAAGTAAAGGTAGTGTGTAGTGATTTAGATTAATTTACTTCAACTCTCTAATTACCGTACCAATTAAACAATGTTAATACATTTTATAAAAAAGTTAATAGTTACCTGATACAATTACATCAAATTATAGCTATATAATTAATTAATAATGTTTAATTAAATTTAATACAAAATCAATTATCATTAATGTGTTTTGACAGATAAAAATATATCAAATTACCAATTAAATTTTTATCTTTCAGATTTTAAAAATATAGAATTTTAATAAAATTAAATTAAAAATGTTAAACATATGAAAAGTAAAACAAAATGTATTTCAATTTATCAAAGAAAGCTTATAAAAAATAAATAATTATAATAATATATTGTTTTAATCTTAAGCCCGGTAGTTAAAACTATTATCTTTGAGATGGTACGGTAGGTTTTCCAGTTTTTTTTAGGGTTTAAATTGTTTAAGAGCACATTTTTTTTCAACGATATAATTAACCATAAACATACATAAATACATAAAATGTATAAATTGAAATGATATCAACTATTACAAATATTATTTAAATATATTATTGTATTATTTTAGATTTTGAATAGAGTGATAAAAGTATAAATAATACAATGATTTTTGTTTTTTTCTTGTGTATACATACACATTAAAAAATATAAATTTTTCAATATTCAACTTTGATGTTAATTTTCGGTAGAAAATTGCATCTAGTTTGTATATTACTAATGTATAAATTAAGAGCCCGGTATTTTAAAAATAAATAAAGAAATAAAGAGAAATAAACATTTTTACACAAAATAGATATTTGATGAAATAAATTTTTTTTTGTCTAACTCAAAAACTATAATAACTGTAAATACTTAAAATTTTTACTAAGTCTGTATGTTGGAATTTCCTAAACAAAGTAAACATTTTATATTTTAATATTTTTGAAATATTTATATTAGTTTTTTTAATAAATGTTTCTTTTATCTAAAATTTTAAATACACTCAGACAACTCTACACAAATTATATATGTATATATTATGAACATAAATTCATGTTCAAATAAACAATATATTTCATGTTTGGTTATGGACACTTTAAATTTCAATTGTAATAAACTAATTCAGTTAATTTATGATAGTGTATTATGGTCGCCTATTATTAAAAATGTTATCTTACATTTTATTATTATTATTATTATTATTCTTAGAAATATAATACAAACTAATTCACCTACTTTATTCACAGTATGAAAATTAAGATCGCTAATCGCAAGCATGTTTTGGTACCTCATAACACGTAATTTTTCCAATACGAATGAACATTTTTCTTTTTCTATACAATTAATTTAGTATTATGTTGCTCAAAAATAGAAAATCATGATACTAAAGAATAAAATATTTATTGCGTGTTCAGCAGGTGTATTATAATTTATAACACTATGTATTATAATGTTAAATTAAAATGAGTTTAATGTCGCTACTTTTATTATTTGTACCCACAGATAAATACTTTATTGTTACCGATTTATTTCTGGAAATATTTTATAAAACTGTATTACTTTTGTATTTTAAGACTCGTTCAAATGTATTGATATATATATATATATATATATATATATATATATATATATATATAATACATAATATTTATATTTATATACATTTTAATACATAATAAATAAAATGAACAATCAAAAGCATACAATTAAACGAAATAATAAAGTGATATCGAATTGTTACTATAATAATATCACTAATAAAATAATAATATAATAAGGCATTTATGTATAATTATGTGTGTACTCACAGTATACGATCATTCTTTTGATCATGAAATCTTCGTCGTGATAAGTAGACACGACGCACCTGTAATCGCCGGACAACTCGATGGTCGGATTGATGATGTGTAAGGCCCTGTGTATAATAAACATGAGGATTATAGTTTTAGTTTATTAATAAACATTTCTATATTACCAGTTATCATAATTTCCAAATTTAAGCATTTTATATTTTTATTGAAAATTATTTTTTTAAATTTTTTTGGTTACCTGCCAGATTGTAATGTATTATTTATATCGTTCAATTTTATTAATATAATATATGTATTATAATTTTATGAGTAATACCCGATTTAAGGATTAAGTCGAAATAACTCGGGTAAAATTAACTTTACATAAGCAATCTGGGTAGGATATACTGTAGACTCTGAAATACAATTATTTGGTTATATTTTTTACATTATCCGGGTTATTCAAAATTAACCACCAGATGTTTGGAAAATCATAAAATGCATACTTCATTTTTTATTTGAAATTTGAAATTAATAACTGAACATTGTTATTTTATTTTCTCTTAACGTCAAAAGAAAAAATATGTTTATCATTTCATGATACAAAATAAATTATATCATTTAAAATTTTTATCTATGAAAGAGATTATTAATAATGGCTGTCTGATAGTCCGGGATTAAGTGCATGACTAAATATCATACATATTTTTATCTCAATTCGAGACAATGATGGACATTATTAATACTTGCTAATTTCAAATAGTTATTTTTCTCGACTATTTTTAAAACTAAATGCTTTTGTATAAAACTTGTATATATTTTATTTCTATATTAATTGCTTATACATTATTTACAATGTATTTATACGTTTAGATTTCAAACAAATGTAGTATCCAGAGCAGAGTAACAAAATCATTGGCATAATGGAATATATGTATTGCAATTACATTTTTATTATATTTTAAAATTTAACAAAAAATGCTTAATAATTTAAAACAATGTTATAAGTAAGTCATATCAAAATTATTATCATTATAGAATTAAGTCAAATCATTAAAAAACTGTATTTTTAACTGAAAGTTACAATTTTTCTAAAATTATTTTAGTTTGTTTGTTGTAATTAAAAAAAAAAAAAAAAAAATAATCATTAACACAAATTTGAAATATTTTACTATTAATTATAAATTATTATTTTCTATACCTAATACAATATTAATAATATATATATATATTAATGACATACTAGTTATTATAGGCAATTAAAATGTTTTAACTGTCTAATTTTTAAGATTTATTATAAGTAACGCTATTGAAAAACCAAACCTAATATATTATGCTAGATACATTTTTATAAAAACAATTGTATTGGAACAGTTTACATAATTTGAATAAATCATTACAATTTTTAAATTATATTATGATTAAAAAATTGAAAATTGTATAAAATTCTTCATTAGTTATATTTAGAGTTGAGTTATAGTCAGAGTTATTAAAAAATATTTATTTTATTTTTAAATACATAAATAAATTGTACACTGTTATTCTTTAAATTTAATATTTATAAAAAAAAAAAAAAAGTTGTTAGAAAGTATATTAAGTGATTATATTAATTATAGTTTGATTTAGTAACTTGCCAAAAGGAACAATTGTGAGAATCCCCTATCCAATATCAGAACACTTATAATATTTTTACCTGTGCATGGTTTCGTTATCGTCGGACACTTTGTAGTCAAGATTGGCTCGGTGACGGAACACGCCAATGCTCAAAGGTTTCTGTCCAGGAATCCACTGATAAACCGGTCTAGCGCTGTTGTTGAAATACCAGGCCACCACTAGACCGATAGAATTTGGACGTAATGTGTACAAGCAATCAAGCACTACGCCATTTTTTACGCTGGCCATCACGGAAGTTGGAACTCGAAGCTCAGTGAGTGTAACACCACCTAAAACACATAAAGAGCATTGAATACAGTGTCAAAAAAAGTTCGTGTTAAGAAATTTATGGTAAAATATAATAAGAGAACCTAACACAATAAATGTTCAATTTTTTTTTTTAATATGAATTTAAAAAAAAAGTTTACTGATTTATATTAAAACAGCATTTCAATCTAATAATGTTACATAAAATGCCTGTAACTCATTCTTTTTGTTTAAAAAGAATACATATAAACAATTCTAAAACTCTAAAAAAAAAAATAAATAACTACAGAAACTCATCAATGTTTAACCTACATATTTCTAGGTTAACACAAAATTGAAAGTGATAAAAAATAAAAATAACACTTTTATATGTAGCTTAATTTGAATATTGTGTTTAAAATTAGTATACCTACATTTGTTTAAAGATTAAAATTAAATATACAGGAAAAATAAAACCATATTTTTTATTTTTACTTTTTATAAATTAACAAAAAAACAGCTACATAAACAAAATTAGGATCGTAACTATAGCCTTTTTAGTCGATAAAACTGGGCTAGTTCTTGGCAAATATATTCAAACCGATCGAAAAACGATTTCTACAATAACCGTCAGATTATAGGACAAAATTAATAAGTTCTAAAATTTTAGGATATGCGCGTCAGATTTATGAAAACTGGATAATAATAATAATATTTAAAAAAATGCATATGTTATTTTTAATATTTATTTCCTCAGCGCGCACTGATGATACTGTTTCTTCGTTTTCTTCAAACAAACTTATTGTAACACAACATGTGTACCGGACAGAAAACTATCTGTGAATAAAATTACATCACTATTCCACCAGAGGTGGACGTGCTCAGAATATAGTGTACAAAGTTTTCTGTTGACACTACCACATTCACAACGTGGATGATCATGTTCAAATAAAGGTTTTATAAACAAAAAAAATATGTAAAGAATAAAACGAATACGTAAGACATACATGTGACATTTTAAAATATATATAAACGCAAGTTGCCGCCTTTTTTCAAGTCCTTACTGTAGTTGTACGAAATCGTCGTAATAATTTTAATAAAAATTTAAAATTAATAAAAAAATTAATGAATATTAATGTTAGTACAGTTAAATTACTCTGTGGGAATACCATCCGACGTTGGTGTCCTGCCAAGATGTTCATATTTACATGACGCAATTTATCAAAACTTTTATCAGTTGAAGCATTTTTCTGTGGAAAAACCGTTGATTACAACTAATTATCGTCTCTTTTTCAAATATTTTATTATTATTTATGTATACTAAGTATTATTATACTAATAATGGTCTCATAACATGACACTGGTTTCTCGTATATCAGTTAAAACTAGGCGTAGTTACTGGGTGGATAGGTGAGTGTATGGGAGCGGTTTATGTACCATACAATTTAATACAAGGTTCCTTACAAGTGGCTCTTACAGTAATTAAATAATATCAACTACATAAATATAAATATATATTATTTTGTATCAACATTTTTTAGTTATAATTTTGAATATATTGAATATTTACTCGTAATATAAAGACTTAAGATGTTATGTTGCAATTCAAAAAATATTATTCCCATCGGTTTGAAAATTTTTACTACATATTACAAATTTATTATTTTATATAATATATACATCAAGTTCCTATTAATACTGTTTTATAGAATGTGGTTTATACTCAATAAATGATAAGAATAATTAATGATAATTATTATAAAATATATACAATTAATTTAAAAAAAAATAGTTCATCGCATCATACTACCCGGATATAATATATCTCATAAACAAAATGGAAGCTATTATTTTTAGAAAGACGATAATATTATGATTTTGGTACTTCATATGTGATGATTTAATTATATAATTGAATAATATATTTGTCTAAATCACCAACAATTTGATAGTTTCTAGATGGGGCGGAGGATAACATTTTTAGTTGTTTGTTCTGCAGACTATTAATAAAAAGATAAATTATTTATAGTTCAATAAATTAATTAAAAATTATCCTTAGAAATAGAAATTGACGTCTAACACAGTATTATTTTTTTTTTTTTTTTTATGCAGTCATAACATATTAAATTTAAACTAAACACGTACATTCTATATACTCAATGAATAATAGCGTAGTGCACTTATAAACTACTATACAATACCAAAAATTCAGTTTTACTTGATACTTGAATAATTGCATATAAATTAAATTAATATAAAATACATCATTATTAGTGAAACTATACAATTTTTGTGAAGATTTGTTAGTATTTTTATAGGGAACAAAAAATATTTGTGCTACAAACATTTTTATATTTTATTTAAATTTGTAGTTTTAAATTTCAATTCAAGAATTTTGTCATTCAAATTCCTATTCAATATTACGCAATATTACAGAATAATTGTAAAATGTGTATAAAAAAAAATATAACACTCAGTCATCGTGTCTGTACTATTTAATAAATGTGCATAGCTAGTATATTTAACGTCTGTTTATTATTATAAAATATAGTATTAATCTAATCTTAGGCTAAGTTTAGATTCAATGACGAATTGAATATTGATAATATGCTTTACTTTGTACAATAATTATATATCTGGAATATAATTTAATTATGTTATCAGTTAAAGAAATACCTCTTATAGAGGATCAAAGCGGGAAAATAATTGATTTTGTTAATAATTATGAAAATTTGTAACACAAACACGGTATTGTATCGCATACAAATACAAGTTTTAAACGGTGTTGCATTCAATTTTATTATTATTATATTATAATATCATTATAAACCTTGTTATCTCTCTCTTTATCCCCTTCACAAGGATATTCAAATCATTTCTTTTCCAAATTATTATCATCGAATCACTTGTTTGATTCATCTAAAGTGGCATATTGTCGTTATATAATATGTAGCATGAGGCAATATTACGATTATGAATAATATCAATAATAGTTTTTATAGTAACTGCCATAAAATATTCAAAATTTACAGCTATTCCAAGAGCATCGCATTCACATATTATTATGCTTATAGTTATACACATCAATGCACATATTAAGCAGACATACTCGATAACTGAATCTTATTCATTCAACATCACATGCGTTTATAAGACATGATACGTTACATTAATGTACAAGTGAAACTAAATGAGCCTACTCCTCGAGATGGTTAAGAGCGTTATTATTATTTATTATCATGCCAAACGACGAATAATAATATTACTATTATTAACAAAACCGCTCATGTCTGTGCAAGCAATCTCAAAATAAATTTCACGAGAACGAGCTCACGATTTATGTTTTCAAATGCAGATAGCATAATATTATTTAAATTATATCACGGACAAGTATGAACGATCTACAAATGAAATCCAATTCCATTAAAAACGATTTCCGAGTGTTTACTTTCGTGCGATTTTTAAATTTTTTTTCAGTAAACAGTAATTTTCTCTCGTCAACTTGAATGTGCATTCGTATCCAGCATTCCAATTTAAAGTAAAAGTAAAATACTATTCGGAAAATCTTAAGTGTGTGTGTGAGTGCGAACGCTCGTTTTGTTTGCCATTTAAATGTTTAATAATAGAATCTATAATAAGATACCGTGTAGTGCACTTGCAGGTATCTAAACAGTAAACAGTTATAAAATTAAGATTCTTGTTTTAAAACGTGGGTAATTTAACACAACAAATTTCACGTACCATATACTACGAATTTCACTCACCCGGTTTTGAATGGTTTTTATTTAATTTCATTACTCAAAATTAAATCTACTAATTGTATCATAGTGATACTTTAAAATATCAAATAATTAAGTAAAATTGTATTTAAATCGTCCTTATGTACTGTAATAAATATAATTTTTTAAATAACCAATTTGTAGATCAATCAACCGAATTTGATGGCATACATATTAAAAAATAAAAATGCTTTAAGTAATATATTTAATACAAATTTGAACCTATATGGGTTCACATTTATAAAACATGAACAAAATAATTTGTAGAAATAGATAAACATTTCAATGTTTTGCGTTTTTTATATTTTATTTTTTTCTAACTGATAGTATGTAAATAGTTATAAATAGTTGAACTTATCGAGTTACAATTTTAACTTATGGATAATTTTTAGATATTATAATTTTATAACATATTAATTCCTCTAGATAAAATAGTATGTAGTTAAATTGTAATAAGTAATTTGATTTATGATTAACTTTGCCATAATTCAATACGATTCTACTTACACTTTTCAATAGTTTAAAACTAGGTTTATAATCATCAATAACTTAATTTAAGTGTAATAGCAAATTTTAAAACATACAAAATACACTTGGATATATCTTAACTGTTAATTATTTTTTTATAACGTTGTATTATTGTGTGTTTTTTAAACATCATATTATGCAAATAAATATCTGTAAATCACTTTTAATGACCATTACTGTCGACGATAACTTTTAATAAAATATATATTTAAAAAAAGTAGATCACTAAGCATGTTCTATTTTCCTTTGATAATGAACGTATTCAAACTGTTATTCGAAATTCACAAGTAAAATTAAATGTCACCTTTTCAAATAATTCAATTTTTGATATAATTTATTGATACAAAATAAATTTTTCCAATTGAAAACCACATTTTTTTACTCAAATCTGTAATGTGGATGATTATTTTAAAAATACCGATGTACCCAAACAATAGACAATAGTCTTGTGATTTCTGAATTATAAAACCGTAAATATTAAGTATGATAACTATTAAGTTTTATTTTAAAACAAATGTTACATATTTAATTTTACATTTATTTGTTTTACGTCAAACCACTTTTAAGGATTTTTATCTTTATAAATTTAAATTAAATAAATTAGAAACTTTGGTTTTGCAATTTTAAAAATAATCTTGTGCTTAATTATAGTTAAAAAATAAATAAATTTCATATCAAAAAATAAATAATTAGAAGGTCTGGTATAAAATATACCTATAGTGGCTTTAGTAAATTAA